CCTCGTGTAATCCGTGTAACTCCAAGTTCCTTTTTATTTCTTTTTCCTGATTCAGCGATCAGGCCTACTAACATAACTAACATAGTGGGAAAATCGGTGGATGAAGTGGCACATCTACCCTCACATCCGAGGATGAGCGGCTCAGAATTCCCGGAGAACTTAATTGATGAAGAGGGCATCTCTCTGTGTACCCTGCACTGTGATGAATTCCAAACTAAATAATAAAAGCTACTTACACACTGATGCTTGCCTATCAATCCTACATTTCTCAATCAATATCGGCAAGTCAGTAACACCAATGCCCTCAGAATGATTATAACCTAACCAAGCTACTTGGATCTTCTGTTTGTTAATAACCCATGGTCATTTTCTTTCCAGTATAAATATCAAATTAATATTGATGGCACAGTGGCAGCCTATAGATTGCCTTATCTACTAGCAGGAAACAGTGTGGTGCTAAAGCAAGACTCCATCTACTATGAGCATTTTTATAACGAGCTGCAGCCATGGAAACATTATATTCCGTTTAAAAGTGACCTGAGTGATCTGCTAGAAAAACTACAGTGGGCCAAAGAGCATGATGAAGAGGTAAATATACTTTTAGAAGTATCAGCAATGTTTCTCGACAAAATAGAACAAAAACTGTGTTTCTTTGAAACAAAAAAAAATCTATTAGAAGGACTTAAAAATTATTGTCATCAACTCTACAAACAAGAAAAACACTTTTTAAAAAATGCATAATACTGCTCTTAATTTGAAATTAAATCGAACTTCCGAAAAATTAAGAGTCTTTTCATAAGAATGCCTTTTAAGAATGCTTAAATAAAAATAAGTAAGTTACCCTAAACTGTCAACACTATTTAACTCCAGAATCAATACTGGCATCCTGAGGTAACTACTTGGTTTTTTGAGAACTTAAAAAAAATAACTTTTTTCTTTGACAGGCAAAAAATATTGCGAAGTCTGGACAAGAATTTGCAAGAAACAATCTTATGGGAGATCACATTTTCTGTTACTATTTCAAACTTTTCCAGGTTAGTATATTTTTAACGGCTACTACCACAAAAATAGAAATCCCTCACAGAGAATCGAGGGCAATGGAGCTGCTGGAAACTGGCCAGGCTGGTACTTGAAGCCTCAAAGCAAGTAGCAGCAATTAAGAGGTTCAGTGGGTTTACAACCGTTGCGTGCTGTTACTTCCCATCAAACCCCTTAAGACTACGCTGGCGCTTTGAGAGAAGCAATCGGATCCCATAAATCTTGATCTAATCTGCAAGAATATGTTGCCCACCACGATCAAAGAATTCCACGTCAGACGCGCGCCCTGCGAACCACAGCTGAAAATATCTGTGCATTAGCACCCAGGTATCAAACCTCCAGCGAGGCACCCGAAGGGGCTCCTGTCAGCAAAGTATCTGCTTACTCTGGCGGTGACACAGTGTGGAGTCACAGATTGTGTGTGTAGCCCCAGAGCTTTTACAGAGTTACTCAGCTGAGTTGGTGCAGTACTTAGAACCAGGTGGACAATCTAACGAGAATGGCTGGAGAGCAGCCCTGAGGAGGACTTGGGGGTGTGGGTGGATGAGAAGCTCAACATGAGCCAGCAATGCGTGTTCGCAGCCCAGAAAGCCAACCACATCCTGGGCTGCATCAAAAGAAGTGTGGCCAGCAGGTCAAGGGAGGTGGTCACGAGAGCTCTACTCCGCTCTGGTGAGACCCCATCTGGAGTATTGCATCCAGCTCTGGAGTCCCCAGCACAAGAAGGACATGGACCTGTTGGAATGGGTCCAGAGGAGGGCCACGAAGCTGATCTGAGAGCTAGAGCACTTCTCCTATGGGGACAGGCTGAGAGTTGGGGTTGTTCATCTGAGAGCTAGAGCACTTCTCCGATGGGGACAGGCTGAGAGTTGGGGTTGTTCAGCCTGGAGAAAAGAAGGCTCTGGGGAGACCTTATTGAGGCCTTCAGTACTTAAAAGGGACCTACAGGAGAGCTGGGGAGGGACTCTTTATCGGGGAGTGGAGCAATATGATGAGGGGTAAGGGTTTTATACTGAAAGAGGGGAGATTTAGGTTAGAAATCAGGAAGAAATTCTTTACTGTGAGGGTGGTGAGACACTGGAACAGGTTGCCCAGAGAAGCTGTGGATGCCCCATCCCTGGAGGTGTTCAAGGCCAGGCTGGATGGGGCTTTGAGCAACCTGCTCTAGTGGAAGGTGTCCCTGCCCATGGCAGGGGGGTTGGAACCCCATGATCTTTAAGGTCCCCTCTAACCTGAACCATTGTATGGTTCTATGAATTAACAATACCATCCTTTTTTAAAACCAGGAATATGCCAGCTTGCAAGTGAGTGAGCCAAAAATCAGAGATGGGATGGAGAAGGTGCATCAGCCCGATGATGACCTTTTTCCATGTACCTGCCACAGAAAAAAGGTACAGTACATAGAGTGTTAAATGTGAGTGCTGGGTGTCTTCAGTTCTTACTCAACCAGCTTGGGAACAGCTGTTGCTTAATACCCCGTGGTGTCAGTTACCAGAACATTAACACCTGCCGAACTTAGAAACATTTCTTCATGTTTTTGCAGGACTAGACACTTAAAAATTGAGTTTCCAATTAACTGTTTCTTCTTTCTTGACTACAGGCCAAAGATGAACTCTGACAGAAAAAAATATTTTTTTAAAATATTTACCTACACTCGGACTGCTTTGTTAAGGGAAGAAGAAAAACTTGGATTAAAATGCCAATGGATAATGTCAATGGATATTATGAAGTTTACTGTGTCGTGATCTACATATGGAAGAAAACCAAGCATCCCCTTTCCTTTTTATCATGCAGTGGTTGCAGAGCCTTGTTCAAAAACATTTTTATAATTTTTTTTTTTAAATAAAAACCACGTTTGTATCACTGATGTCTTACTGGCCTGAGATACCTTGGAAATGCAGATACTTATTAGCAACTTTATGAGCAGCCTGGTCCAGGGGGAGGTGTCCCTGCCCACGGCAGAGGGGTTGGAACTAGATGATCTTTAAGGTCCCTTCCAGCCCAAACCATTCAGATTACTCACGCTTGTTGCACTGAGTGTATTCGCAAGTGTGTTCTGTAAAAAAGAACTGTGAGTCCACCCTCCCAACCCCATGTATCTATCCAAAGTTGTCTTTTTTAGACCGTAACTTTGTTCTGAGAGAGTCAGTATGCTCAAAGATAATAATGTGGGGTTTATAATACACCTTTTTAACCTGAAGGACTAACACAGTGCTATAGGACGCTTTAGGAATATTATATGGAAGTGTTAAGTTCCATATGATTTTGATGGATGTTTTGTGAAACTCGGTCTCTTTGGCAACATGAAAAGAGTTAAGCGGCATCGAACAGTGACTATTGAAACTAAACCAATCATTGTTCCAACAGTCTATTTTTAGAATACCAGTTTTCTTTCCACAGATACTAAGTAATTCAACTTTTTAAAAAATGCATAATACTGCTCTTAATTTGAAATTAAATCGAACTTCCGAAAAATTAAGAGTCTTTTCATAAGAATGCCTTTTAAGAATGCTTAAATAAAAATAAGTAAGTTACCCTAAACTGTCAACACTATTTAACTCCAGAATCAATACTGGCATCCTGAGGTAACTACTTGGTTTTTTGAGAACTTAAAAAAAATAACTTTTTTCTTTGACAGGCAAAAAATATTGCGAAGTCTGGACAAGAATTTGCAAGAAACAATCTTATGGGAGATCACATTTTCTGTTACTATTTCAAACTTTTCCAGGTTAGTATATTTTTAACGGCTACTACCACAAAACATATCAACATCATCTGAAAAAGATGGATTTAAAGTTGAGTCTAAATTAAATTAATTAAATTAATTAAATTCTAAAGTTAGCACATGTTTTCAGCCCAAAGTGAGGATTTTTCTGTGTAACACAGCCAGAAATCCTCTCAGCTCCCCAGGGCTGACTCAAAGTCCATTTAGGCAGCTCTGCACTGTCACACACAACAGCTCCTCCCAAAATGACCTCCAGGCTAATGCTGCCTGGTCACCTTCAGCTGGTGGCACCGCAGCTGCAAGCCGTAAAGATGCAGAACGACCAGAGCAGGTTTTAGGGAACTGATGGCAGTAGAGATGAGACCACCATCCCAGGAGACAATGCCAAGATGCTTTTCTCAGCACCAACCAGCCACTTCATCTCAGGGGTCATCAGGCTTTGGAGGGTCATCTCAGAGAGTCATCATTCAGCTGATAGTTGCTGATGACTTGGTTGAAAGCAGTTAATATGATGCTATAACCTTTGGTTATACCAGCAGGTTACTCCCAGCCCGTAATGGGAAGCCTGCAGCTGCAAGCACACACAAAGGACTTCATCCACTCTGCAATGCCAGAGGTCAGTTGAAGACCTCTGTTCCTTCCACTAATGGTTCAGACCATTAGTGGAGGTTCAGACCCCTGCCTGCCTCTTCTGAGCTCTCCTGACAGAAGCCTTGTGCAACATGTCCTAACAGCTTCCTCCTCCAGGAGCTCCTCCACCAGCATAAACATAATTTGTCATTTATTGGTTTTTAGAGTTTTTCATGTCCATCTCTCCAAAGGGCCACTGCCATCAGTCCTTTACACAAGGGAAGTTGCTCAAGGGTGACTTCTCAAAGTCACGTTCTTTGCTCCTCACGCACAACCATGTCTGTGTTACCTCCTCCTCCCTACACAGGCTGAGCATCTGGCCCCTTGGGGTAGGGACGCCATAAATGACCAGAGACTCCTCCCCCTGTGTCACTGGTTTTGAAGCCCACTGGCAGTGCCAGGACACAGCACCAAGGCAGAGTAGTACAACCCCTGCTGCCCAGCCTCGGGGGATGTGCTCACAGAATTCTACAAATAAGCAGGTTTTAATTTCAAACCAGTGTAGCAGCAGTAATACACTCAGAAATGAAATGCATCTAAAGACTTGCTGTCAAAATAGATTCTTTCCAGTGTATTACTTCAAATATCAGTCCAAAGCATTTAGTTCTTAATGGAGAGGACTAAGTGTTTTATACAGTTATTTGCACAGAAACACAGAAAACAACGCTGCCATGATATTAAGTATTTGGTAAATCTTCTGTTCTTCCTTTAAAAAATTCTTTATTTTTTTGCATAATGCTTTTCATTCACACAAAAAATGTTTTATTTGCATTTACACTTAGACCTCTGAAAATATCCGTTTTATAAAAAATGCATCTCTCAGAAATAACAAACTCTTAATTTGCTGCATTTAGGAACATCTAAATGAAGATATTGCTTAAACACTGCAAATCATCTGTGCTCTAGTTCAATATTCTCTCTAATCCAAGAAAAAACTTGTGTATTTATTTCTTCCATGACATCGTCTGTTGTTCTTCCTTTGACTGCCATCCCATGGTTTGCTTTGTCAATCCAATGGATTCTTTTAGGGGCTTTCATTTTGCTTGCCACACCTTCCAGCAATTGCTGTGGAGAAGACAAGAATGACAAAGTTAAAGAATCAGCTGCTACAAACTGTGCAATTCATAGTTGCACTCACTTTGCTTGTGCAACACGTGATAGGCAGCTCTTGAAAACAATCTGTGTGCACTTTAAACACGTGTTGATGGCAAAGATATGATGATGCTGTGTCCAGGAATGGAATTTCCTCAAAGGGGCCCTCACTCAAACATGGGTTAGCAGAAAATTAGAACTTAAAAAACTGGAATGGTCACAGCCCTGTGCAGGCTCCTTCCCCACAAAGGAATCCACTTTCACAGAGTTGTCTACAGTAGTAGAGCAGCAATAAGGGCCACAAGGATGATCAGGGGGATGGAGCACCTCTGCTACGAGGACAGGCTGAGGGAGCTGGGGTTGTTCAGCCTGGAGAAGAGGAGGCTCCGGGGAGACCTAATAGCAGCCTTCCAGTACCTGAAGGGAGCCTACAGGAAGGCTGGGGAGAACCTGTTTAGAAAGGCCTGCAGTGACAGGACGAGGGGCAATGGCTTCAAGCTGGAGGGGAACAGATTTAGACTGGAGATTAGGAGAGGGTTCTTTACTGTGAGGGTGGTGGAGCACTGGAACAGGTTGCCCAGGGAGGTGGTTGAGGCCCCTTCCCTGGAGATATTCAAGGTGAGGCTCGATGAGGCCCTGGGCAACCTGGTCTAGTTGGGGGTATCCCTGCTGACTGCGGGGAGGTCGGACTAGATGACCTTTGGAGGTCCCTTCCAGCCTGGGAAATTCTATGATTCTATGAATATAACAGCCTAGAGAGTGGCTTTGACTCTCTTCAACTTTCTCAGCAAACAGACTTAAGAACCAGCTCAGAAGGTCTTAAACATTTCCCCATGAAGAGGGCACTCCAAGGATCTGCTGGTTGTCAGCCTGACATTTTGGTGACAACTCCTTGCGAAAGCATCATGACTCCTTAGGAACTCTCCAAGCGTGGAAAATACCAATTGTGCAGTCCCAAATCCAAGCTGAATGGTTCAAGAATGAACAGATACCTACTTTGCAAGAAAACAAGGCAGAAAACCAGTGTTTTTTCATCTCTGCACACCTGGTCTTCATCTCTACAGAAACATCACTTTCTACCACAGAAGTCTGACTTGGGAGTAGAACTGCTTTGCTAGAAGAATTTGTCATAAAAATGTGACAAACGTGAAACTGGTCGCACAGCAGTGTTTATGTTTTGTAACCTGATGTGGTTAGAACAGAACAGCAAATAACTTGCTCCATCCATAGGCTGCTTTAAATTTGTACAATCCTTAGAAAAATACAAAACCCTTAAATCAGCAGTATTTTAGTGGCCCAAAGATGAGTTTGCTAAAGAGGATGATCAAGCACGATCCAGAAGTTTCAAGCAGCAACAGAAGGCACCCCCGGGCTTCCTTATGTCTGATAAAGTTTCCTACCCAAGGCTTCCCTTCGGAAGATATACATATATTTAGAGGAGGCTGTTAATCAAAGCCAGGCTTCCTTATGTCCAATAAAGTTTCCTACCCAAGGCTTCCCTCTGGAAGATATATATATATATATTTAGAGGAGGCTGTTAATCAAAGCCACAGCTGTGTGTACTGGTACAGATGTCACTCAAGACTCATTCCTATTCCTTCATCCTGCCCCTCCATAGCAGGATTTACAAGGGTACTCACTTTTTCACACATCTCATCTGCTGATCCTGAGACAAACAGCACCGGACAGCTGATAAATAATAAATCTTCATCACGGAGCTTGGACTGAAGTTTTGGTCGATGCAATGGGTAAGATAAACATATTAGACCATGAATGAAGTCATCCTCCTCCTCCTCCTGGCTAAGATGACGTATCACAGAGGCAGCAGCTCGTGAGCCCATGGAACGGCCTTTCTCCCATGTCAAAATAAAGGAAAAAAAAGTGTATCTGCTGTCACCTCATCTACATTCTCTTCAAGTAAACAACTCCTAAAAACAATCCAACAACTCCTAAAAACAATCCAACTGAGTGTATTTCAGTGTACCAGTAGTAAAAAATGTGAAGGATGCTTTTATTCATCTACTCAATGAAAAATATTAATCCTCATTTCCACATTTTCTGCTAAACTATTTGTCTGGTTATATTATGTTTGCACATTCCCATTTAAAAAAAGAAGGTGGCAAAAAGAAGATAAATGGAGAGGGAGCCTTTGCAATGCTGGAAGGAACAACAGCCTGTCCTGGAGTCAGGAGAGGGTCATATCCTATGCTCCTGACCCTTGAAATTCCAGATAGCAATGCTATCTTTATCATTTTTTCATGCAACCTTAACCTGCTCAAATTAAATTAATTCTATGCATCTTACTTCCAAAATAAATCCAGCAAGTGCTTATGCACACCTCAACATTCAGCTTGAAAGTAGAAGGGGAAAAAAAAAATAACAAAGCGTGAAGTTGTAGCATGAAGTCAGTCACTAACAGCAAGGGGATATCAAATTATCTCCTCAAAGAAGAGGCATATGAGCTGACAATGCTCTGTAATTGAGTGTTAGAAGTAGCTGATTCCAGTGGGATTAACTTGCATCAGGGCAGATTTGGTTTCGCTTACTCAGAGAACATTCAGGGTTTCCCGTCTCAAGTTATTCCTAATCACACCCATCCACTTTGCTTTTTCACATGATATAACTGATTTTCTATCTGCCACTAGGTTTTCTCTACCAAAACCCTGATTTTCCATTTACCTGTAGCTGGAATTCTTCAAGACCCACAGTTAAAAAGTACACATGGGTTATCAGAGAACCCGTGCCCTGGCACTTACAAGCGACAAGGAATTTTTCTCCCAAAGTACCTGGAAAACACAGTCTATTTCTCTTTCCTTCCACCTTCTGGAGAGAGATCTGTGGGATTGTGAGGGGGTGAACAGATCCAGACAGCCGTGCTCCCCAGAGAACGTGGTGAAAGCAGCAGGCTGGATGTTCCCATTTGTGACCCGAGAAGCAGCGCTGCTCAAGCGAGGGAGCCAAGCTGCACAGCCACCCCATGCAGCCACCAGCTGCAAGGCTGGTAGCAAGGGGACTGTTTAGTATGAGGAAGAGGAGGCTGAGGGGAGACCTCATCACTCTCTACAACTACTTGAAAGGACACTGTAGAGAGGTTGGTGCTGGTCTCTTCTCACAGGTAATTAGTGACAGAACGAGAGGGAACGGTTTCAAGCTCCAACAGGGTAGGTTTAGATTGAACATCAGGAAAGAATTTTTCACAGAAAGAGTGATAGGGCATTGGAATAGGCTGCCCAGGGAGGTGGTGGAGTCACCATCCCTGGCTGTGTTTAAGGGACGTTTAGATACAGTGCTAAGGGACATGGTGTAGGGGAGGACTATGTAGAGTAGGGTAGATGGTTGGACTCGATGATCCCAAGGGTCTCTTTGAACCTGAAAGATTCTATGATTCAAGGAGACACCCCAATGCAGATCTCCAAGTGGGCTTGGCACCCAGCTTCCCATGGCAATAAGTGGGCTGTTAATCAATTAATGAAGACTACAGAACCCTCTTCGTAAAGGAGGGTTCTCCCAGCAGACAGCTGAATTGCTTTCCCTAGGCAATATTGACTAGAGGGAGTTTATTCAGTTTGTTCCCAAGTTAGACAGCAAGCTTTTAGTGCCCACCTCAAACTGAAACCTGCCTTCACATCTGTTCCTTTCACTTCTTACCAAAATGAGACAGACTTTAAAAAATTGAGTAATTACAGACAGCTATCATTAGAAACAACGTGAGAGAGAAAATTATAGGTAATAAAAACAATACCTGCAAGGAAGACACCTGAAAGTTTATAGTCTTTGGAAAGCTTTAAGTATTCCTAAAGAAATAAGATAAAGAGAAACATTACAAATCAAAATGAAGGCAGTTCAGAGGTGGGGATTTTTTTTCATTTGTAGCTCTAAACACAAAATGGGAAGCTCTTTCAGCACTGCAGATTAAACAAATAAGAGATACACACAAGTTGATGTCTTGCTTTTTTTCACACAAATGATTTCATAACATTCTGCAGTAACAATATAATAAGCATAAGCAATTTCACATTAGTTCTCTGCAAGTCTAAAATTTCAGATGCCCTGTCAAGTTACCAAAATATAAACTGTGTTACTGTGTATCAATGTAGTTCTGGAACATGCAAGGGTTTAGCCCACCAAAAGGCAATGAAAGTTAGCAAAAATGCCCTTTACTGAGGCTGAGGTCATGTGTTTCCAACAAAAAGTTTACAACACTTATCTCTGGCAGAGAAGATAAACCATTCAAGCTGGATGGGGCTTTGAGCAACCTGCTCTAGTGGGAGGTGTCCCTGCCCATGGCAGGGGGGTTGGAACTAGGGGATCTTTAAGGTCCCTTCCAACTCTAACCATTCTATGATTCTACAAAGCTCAGCATCAACTTTTTCTGTTTTTAGGAGATAACTAGTCAGATGCTATAGTAGCAGAGGCCTTTAAATTACTTTTACACAGCAAAATATTAATAGAAACTCACTAACAACATTATGCAGCTTCAAGAAAGAATGGAGAACAGATCCCCATTAAAGCTAGCAAAGTCTAACCTCAAATTAATGTACATATAATCATAATGACATCATATAAATTCATTCCTTATGAACTGGACTTAGTTCTCTAATAAAACTGTGTGATGGTCACTACAAAACACTCAAGCTACTTTCCCATGCCCCAGTAGAAGCAGCTAATCAGGAGAGAATTTCCACTTCTACCCACCCCAGAACAAGATGATACTCTAAGCTGAAACATACAACAAAAGGTTACTCATTTTAACAAAATCTAGGTATATAAGAACAGCTTAGCAACATCAAAAAGAGACATGCGCATTTAACAGTTTAAACTCATTTGGAAAGCAAAGACTCTTTAGGTTCTAGGGGTCCCATATGCTACTCTCAATCTCTTTTGCTTCAACTCTTCCTGTGACCACTTACAAGCGACAAGGAATTTTTCTCCCAAAGTACCTGGAAAACACAGTCTATTTCTCTTTCCTTCCACCTTCTGGAGAGAGATCTGTGGGATTGTGAGGGGGTGAACAGATCCAGACAGCCGTGCTCCCCAGAGAACGTGGTGAAAGCAGCAGGCTGGATGTTCCCATTTGTGACCCGAGAAGCAGCGCTGCTCAAGCGAGGGAGCCAAGCTGCACAGCCACCCCACGCAGCCACCAGCTGCAGGGCTGGTAGCAAGGGGACTGTTTAGTATGAGGAAGAGGAGGCTGAGGGGAGACCTCATCACTCTCTACAACTACTTGAAAGGACACTGTAGAGAGGTTGGTGCTGGTCTCTTCTCACAGGTAATTAGTGACAGAACGAGAGGGAACGGTTTCAAGCTCCAACAGGGTAGGTTTAGATTGAACATCAGGAAAGAATTTTTCACAGAAAGAGTGATAGGGCATTGGAATAGGCTGCCCAGGGAGGTGGTGGAGTCACCATCCCTGGCTGTGTTTAAGGGACGTTTAGATACAGTGCTAAGGGACATGGTGTAGGGGAGGACTATGTAGAGTAGGGTAGATGGTTGGACTCGATGATCCCAAGGGTCTCTTTGAACCTGAAAGATTCTATGATTCAAGGAGACACCCCAATGCAGATCTCCAAGTGGGCTTGGCACCCAGCTTCCCATGGCAATAAGTGGGCTGTTAATCAATTAATGAAGACTACAGAACCCTCTTCGTAAAGGAGGGTTCTCCCAGCAGACAGCTGAATTGCTTTCCCTAGGCAATATTGACTAGAAGGAGTTTATTCAGCTGGTTCCCAAGTTAGACAGCAAGCTTTTAGTGCCCACCTCAAACTGAAACCTGCCTTCACATCTGTTCCTTTCACTTCTTACCAAAATGAGACAGACTTTAAAAAATGGAGTAATTACAGACCGCTATCATTAGAAACAATGTGAGAGAGAAAATTATAGGTAATAAAAACAATACCTGCAAGGAAGACACCTGAAAGTTTATAGTCTTTGGAAAGCTTTAAGTATTCCTAAAGAAATAAGATAAAGAGAAACATTACAAATCAAAATGAAGGCAGTTCAGAGGTGGGGATTTTTTTTCATTTGTAGCTCTAAACACAAAATGGGAAGCTCTTTCAGCACTGCAGATTAAACAAATAAGAGATACACACAAGTTGATGTCTTGCTTTTTTTCACACAAATGATTTCATAACATTCTGCAGTAACAATATAATAAGCATAAGCAATTTCACATTAGTTCTCTGCAAGTCTAAAATTTCAGATGCCCTGTCAAGTTACCAAAATATAAACTGTGTTACTGTGTATCAATGTAGTTCTGGAACATGCAAGGGTTTAGCCCACCAAAAGGCAATGAAAGTTAGCAAAAATGCCCTTTACTGAGGCTGAGGTCATGTGTTTCCAACAAAAAGTTTACAACAGTTATGTCTGACAGAGAAGATAAACCATTAGAGCTGAATGGGGCTTTGAGCAACCTGCTCTAGCTTATCTCTGGCAGAGAAGATAAACCATTCAAGCTGGATGGGGCTTTGAGCAACCTGCTCTAGTGGGAGGTGTCCCTGCTCATGGCACGGGGGTTGGAACTCCATGATCTTTAAGGTTCCTTCCAACCTGAACCATTCTATGATTCTATAAAACTCAGCATCAACTTTTTCAGTTTTTAGGAGATAACTAGTCAGATGCTATCTCAGCATCAACTTTTTCTGTTTTTAGGAGATAACTAGTCAGATGCTATAGTAGCAGAGGCCTTTAAATTACTTTTACACAGCAAAATATTAATAGAAACTCACTAACAACATTATGCAGCTTCAAGAAAGAATGGAGAACAGATCCCCATTAAAGCTAGCAAAGTCTAACCTCAAATTAATGTACATATAATCATAATGACATCATATAAATTCATTCCTTATGAACTGGACTTAGTTCTCTAATAAAACTGTGTGATGGTCACTACAAAACACTCAAGCTACTTTCCCATGCCCCAGTAGAAGCAGCTAATCAGGAGAGAATTTCCACTTCTACCCACCCCAGAACAAGATGATACTCTAAGCTGAAACATACAACAAAAGGTTACTCATTTTAACAAAATCTAGGTATATAAGAACAGCTTACTCTAACCTCACATTAATGTACATATAATGACATCATATAAATTAATTCCTTAAGAACTGGACTTAGTTACCTGATAAAACTGTCTGATGGTCACTGCAAAACACTCAAGCTACTTTCCCATGCCCCAGTAGAAGTAGCTAATCAGGAGAGAATTTCCACTTCTACCCACCCCAGAACAAGATGATACTCTAAGCTGAAACTGCTACAACAAAAGGTTACTCATTTTAACAAAATCTAGGTATATAAGAACAGCTTAGCAACATCAAAAAGAGACATGCGCATTTAACAGTTTAAACTCATTTGGAAAGCAAAGACTCTTTAGGTTCTAGGGGTCCCATATGCTACTCTCAATCTCTTTTGCTTCAACTCTTCCTGTGACCCAGAACCCCCTACTCTTTCCCCAAAGTCTTGTCCTCCCAACCCTCACACAACCAGCACAATTCCCAGGTTTCCCTTTCCTCTCAAAACTGCTTCTAAAGCTGTATCCCTTAATCCTCTTCTCCTCACCAAGCCCTATCTCTTGTTTTCATCCTAAATATTTCATTTTTTCAAGCTGTAAGTTTTCCTACAAAGCACCCTTGCTTTTTTCACATCCTTTTCTCAAGCTTTTCTTTCTCTCCCTGAATTCAAACCCACGTACTTCCTGCAGCTGTTCCAGCTACTGGCCATATGAAAATTGTTCCTGCTGTTTCTCGTCACAGCCAGTGCTCCATTTAGCTAACCATCACTTCTAATTTCCCCACTGTTGCTTGACTGATCTCTGGTCATAATTCAAGAAGCCCGGAATATGACGTCTGTGGATTTAAGTTTTGGCATAATTTATTTGGTCACTTCTTACCACAACTGCTTTGAAGGCCTTAGTCCTATAAGCAATGTTAAGGCCTTTACAAGTAAACCGCAGGCACAGAACTCCATGAGATGCAAGATGGGCTGCCAAGGACACTAAGTGAGGGAAATTCATATCTCCCCCAGCTCCATGGGTAAGAATGACTCCATATGTTGATTTCTTCTCTGGGACAGAAAATATAGCATCAAGATACTTGTTTCCAAAAGGTATTTTCACTTTAACCTAGAAATGAAACAAAAAATAATATAATTAAAAATGAAAACAAGCATGTTCCCAGTCTACACGTTATGACAAACAATCAGACAACTAAGAAAGAAAACAAAATTTCAAGCCCACTTTTATTTCTTCTGTTTAAGAGTACTAAGTGAGTAACTCTACCTCTGGCTCAAAGATTTTCAATGCAGTAATGGGCAAGTCACCTTATCACTCCACAGTCCATTAGAAAATGAAGCATCCCTAGCTTCAAGGGACACTTCAAGCCATAAACTGAAATGCTTCTTCCCTTCTCCGTATATCTATATCTAGCTATTTGAAAGCTAACTGCCATAACTGACTTGAATATTAATTCTTCCACAATAAGAAAAAAATAACTCTTCTATAAGGCTTAAAAATAAATAGCAAATACAAACTCTTCTAATTACAGTTTCCTACAGAGGAAAAAGTATTTTTATCTCCCATCTCTCACAGACATTATTAAATAAAAGAATTAAGGAAGCCCCTAAACATTTATTACAACCAAATTACTTTGGGTTTGTAGAGCCATATGGAGTATATAGGATTAAAAAAACTCCATGCTGGCAGCAACTATTTAATCCTGTAGCTGTATAATCCATATACAAGCTTGATTACATAGGGAAAAGACCAAAACAGACTATTACAAAAAATGGATTTGAATACACTAGTTTTAGATCTTACATGCAACTATTAAAAAAAAGAAACATAGGAATTACTTTTTCCATTAAGTGTTTAATAATAAATATTGGCAGATGTCACAAGATGCATATTTCACTTATTTGTATAACTGATATCCTAAGATAAGCAAGGAGCTAACTCTCTAACTAGCAGCCTAAGCCACAGAAATACAAGACACGCAGACACAGCCCAGCAATCATTTCCAAATTACACAGTGGCAACCACTCAGTGGAGCAGCAGCTGCATATGAAAGACTGAGCTTTCCCTACGGACAGGAGAGAGACAGCACAGCTTCAGGCTGGCAGAAGGCCTCCAGTCATGTCAGACATCTGGAAGAGCTGAATGAGACACAAGACCAGCTGATGTTGAGCTGAATGAAAGGGGGCTGGACAGCACATGTGCGTCCTCTAAGCAAAAAAAGAACACCTCAGACCTGGGATGAAACACTATTTCATGCCCACTGCTGGATCCCAAAGTCTCTCCTTGGCAGGGGTCCTACAGAGGCACCATGCAGGGAAGGAGGAGGTTGTCAGTGGCCTCATGGAGCTTCCCAGCCTCTGCCCAGCTGATGCAGGTGGAGGATGCCAGGCAGAGGTGGCTACAGAGATGGGCAGGAGCCTGAACCAGCCAGAGCTGCTGCTCCTTGACTACCAGGGCAGGCACCAGGCCAGGCGGGGCTGAGGGGGCCAACCACCATGTTTACACCGCTCCCGGGAGGGCAGGGTCGGCAGCACAAACCCCTCACCCCCCTTTCCCCAGTTCTGGAGGCTCCTCAGAGGGGAACGGCAGCTGCTACCGGCTGCGGGGCTTTACATATCCAAAGACAGAAATGCACACGGGCCCCCACGGGCGGCTGCTCCAGACCAAGCACCCCGCGGCCTCCCCACAGCAGCCCGGGGCCGCCCCGAGCAACGGTGACCCCGAGGAGCGCCCGGGCCCACCAGGCCGCAGGGCCCTCAGGAAGGTCTGGCCGAGGAGAGCGGCCCGGCTCTCGGCCTGCACAGGCGCTTAACCGCCCGCCGCCTCCATGAAGGGGCGGCCGCTTTCCGCCCTCCCCCCCCGCGCCGGGAGCGGCGGGGACGGACAACGGCCATACCTCTGCCTGCCCGCTCATCCCGCGCCCGTGACGTCCTGTGAGTGACAGCCCGCCTTCTCCAATCGCCGCCCCACTTCTGGGAGAGGGCTTCCCCGGGCGGGCGGCTGGCGCGGCGCTTGATTGGCCCACAGGTGTGCGAGGCCCCGCCCCCAAAGGCGATGGGCGGGGCGAGGCAAGCAGTCGGGGCGGGGAGGCTGAGGGGAGAGAAGGGTGTGGCGGCCGGTGGCGGTTGGGCGTCGGGGTGCGCACTGGGCCCGGCGGGGGGGCAGCCGACCCCGGCGCTTGTTGGCCGTCAGGGGAGGGCTGCGCAGGAGGGAATTTTGAACGGCGGTTGGGTTGAGGCGTGTGGGGAGGCGCCTTTGGGCTGGGCCTGAGGAGAAGCTGTGGGGCGTGGGGCAGGCCAGCGCCCGGTACCTGAGGGGGGGGGGGGGTGACGGCCG